CACTTCTAACAGAATTTCATTCGACAGACAACGACGATGTTCGTCGCATGACGAAGACACAATTGTCGAACTTGAACATGCACAGGCATGTGAAACAGAACGGGCTGTGGGGATTTTATAGGGGTCCTGAAGACGATGATCCTATGTTCGACTACCACCTGGCTCTGCAACCGGACCTCATGTACACCATCGAGCACAACATATTTTTGCACATGTTAGACGCTTTCGGAGCAGCTGCCTTTGACAAGTTAAGCCACGTCCCACAAACCCATGTGTTGAAGGAGTTGGATGCGAGGTTGTAGACGCTGAGCAAGAGAAGCAGTACTACGTATCTGCAACTTGTGCTACCTGTAGCAACAGGTAGTGACTACTTCTCACGGAAGGGGCGTTTCGAAGCTAAGCAGAACCGGTCGGTTATGACAATGTGCGTATTCATAGTGTCCAACATTATCCCTGGGTCGGTGGAGAAAAAAATAACGTCCTGTTTCAAGAAACTAATGGAACTGTACATCTCAATGTTCTGGTGCACAAAGCATTCAAGTCATTCGCTGGACACATGTGACAATCTAATGACGGACTTCATTACAACCCTCAAACAGGTCCTGGGTTGTTATCAAACCTCCAACTAAAAACTGTCGAAGTTGCACGACCTTCTGCATTTGAGGGCGTCCATCGAACGTTCAGGTCTCCCAGACAGCTTTGCGGCCGATGTGTGGGAGCACCACCACCAGAAGTTTTGTAAACAGCCTTTCTTGTTGTCGAACAAGCGCAAAGCTTCGTTTCAAATGGTGAATCATGTGCGACGGGCTGTCACATTCGACAACGACATTGAACGTGCACGGAAACAGAGGAAGAGGACAACTGAGAATTGGTCGTCCGTCATGGAGTGTTCGGCAAGCGGAATGAACACACTTGCCGCACGCGATACGGCAAAGTTGCATCTGCCATTTTTCCCCCGCGAAAATGCGGTATTCAATGGGAACGAAGGTACGACGGAAACCGCCAAAGCGATATTGGATGCCCTCCCTTGCAAGGACTTATTTCGAGAAGCTCTTCGCACGTACATGTCGAAAAACGGGTGCAATCCACCGCATGAGGACATGTTAATACGCACAAGAACGCATCTTGCCATCGCAGCAACCGCCGATGGAACAACCAGGGGCGCACTTGTGCAAAATGCGAGGGCTTCATCCAACTTCCACGGGAGAGCGATGCACAGTGATGTTGTTGTGAGGGCATAGACAGGAAGTACGTGGTATGCATCTGTGGCAATGTTTTTTGTCATGAACACCTGTACGGAACAAGTGTCCATCACGCATGAGTGCGCCTTTGTAAAATGATACAAAGAGGCTGACACTGAAAAAGCAGATGTGACAGGGTGCAAAACATTGAAATGGGAAATGGGAAATGGTCGCCACCTGTGCAGCGTCATCTCCGTTGACAGCATCACGAACACTGTTCATATTGTTCCATGTTTCGCAAAACCACAGTGGGGTTCACCGGAGACTTATGGAAAACAACGCGATGACACTTTTTACTTGAACAGATTTGTATTGTGATATGTGGCTTGCGGCACTCAACGGTGACTGCAAGGTCCGGTTGGGTAGTGCGTGCCAATTAAAGGAACACCGCTCACGCATGACATCTTTATGGCCCCCCACCACCCAACACTCTCTCTCTCTCTCTCTCTCTCCCCAAGCCCTGTCATCGCGTGACCAAGGAACGACTACCGAAACTGACGCAAGAAAGCTCGTCAAAATACTGATGGCTTGTTGACAGGTAGAATGTCATACATTACGAGGAACAGTACTGAACGCTCAGCACTGGCAGCAAACATGACCACGGGAAGAGGGAAACGATCAAGAACAACATGAATGCGGACAACTGAAGAGAAAAAAAATATCGGAGGTGACAGCGTGGCAGAGGTCACGATCGATAGCAATCAAGAGAAAACAACATCGACGACGCAGGAGAACTCAGAACGAAGCAAAGTGGAAACGCAAAAGGTCGACAAGGGAGCGTCCCACACCGAGAAGAGGCCAGAAGCCACAACAAGAGAAGGCGAAAAAGCAACAGAGAGGACGGCGGCAAAGAGCAGAATAATGACAATGGAGGCTATGTTGGAGAGATGGGAGCACCTGTCACAGAAGGACCCGTGGTACAACAGAATGTACTTGGCAGCGATAAGGGGAACAATTTGGTCAGCGGATCTCGCAAACCTATCAGAGTCATGCGGGAAGACGACACGGGCAAAGAAGGGCGAGAACGCATAAAGCTCGTCGAACGGGTTCGAGGTTGTTGACGAGACGAACATATATCCACTCATGTGGAAAGGCAAAATGGAGGAGATCCGACTGGCGGAGGCAGATGTGATATGCTTGGTCGTTGGGAAGTGGCTCAATGACAATGTAGTTGATATGTATTTGTTGTCCATATACGAAGAGCAATTGCAAGGTAAGGACATTGCAGCAGTGCATGTGTGCACAACTTTTTGGCATCCGGAGGTGCTCGCGAATCAGAAAGTCGAAGCAGTGAAAAGGGGATGGGAGTTGCGTGTGAAGAGTCGGACGACCAAAATTCATCGATTGTGTAAAGACCTGGAGGCTGCAACGGTTGTGCTTATTCCAATCAACCACAAGCATCACTGGATGCTGCTCGTTATGTTGAATGTAAGGGATTTTTGGACCGACGACACATGCCCCGACGCCATAATCGTCGACTCGTGTGACGGGTACGCAACTCCAGATTGGAGGGCGTTGCGGACATAAATGTGGCACGAGTACCTCAACGACAAAAGAAGGGGTCCGGATGTCGCACGCCAACGGGTGGACAAGTCGTGGAACACTTGCAAAGATGTGTTTGGTCGTGGACTAATCCATGTGAGGTCGTCACAACAAAGTAATAGAGAGGATTGTGGTGTGTATGTATGTCGAATAGCAGAAGAGTTGATAACAAAGTTGGCACATCTCCCAAACGAGAATGGCATCTCGAAAGACGACATGCTGGAAATTGTTGAGAAGATGCGCATCGATGGAAGAACCGTTGGATACTTCCGTAGGAGAGCTCCCGATTGCATTGCAGAGTGTGCAGCAGCAGCGAAAGGTTACACGAGCCTTCGAGCATATTGGACGATAGCTCGTGTCATGAGAGCGACCATAAAAAAAAGACGGTGGAGAACTGCCTTAGACAAGTTCGACAGGCCATGTCGGGCGGGACAATCGGGGGGGGGGGGGGGGGGGGGGGGGGGGGGGGGATAGATTGTGTCGGTGAGGGGGTTAGTGCAAGGGGGTGAGTTTTCTGATAAGACATATATATATGCAAGCGAGAGCGAGACCGTTTCATTCATATCCACCATCCATCGTGTGTCGTGGGTGATCTACCAAAGGAGGCTGCACCAAAGAATATTATGTTCAACCTTTAATGAAGTGAGAGAGAGAGAAGAACGCTTCGAGGGAGAGAGAGAGAGAGAGAGAGAGAGAGCCGCTAGGAGGGGGCAGAGAGAGAAAAGCGGAGGACGACTGTAGTTGTATATTAAGAGAAAGTTGACGAAGAATATTGACTGCATCACTTTTTGTTTGTTTTTTTGCATGAATGTTAAATCTTCTCCTGTCAACATATAATATAAGAAACATCTCTCTCTCTCTCTCTCTCCCTCTCTCTCTCTCTCTCTCTCTCTCTCTCTCTCTCTCTCTCTCTCTCTCTCTCTCTCTCTCTCTCTCT